GGACTTCTGCTGTGGTCGTGTTCAGAGCAGTTGGCATGGGCGCCAGGCAGCAGCTAGCGCTTCTCGTCTCGGGGTCTTAGAAGCTGGGGTTTCTGTGATCCGTTAGCCCATTGAAATAATTTTTCCAAGCAACTTCTGTTTTTACCTCTCTCCTTTCCTCTGGACTGAGAAGACCCTTAGGCGTACTTTAAATGTCCACTTAGGAACTTTTAAGACCTCTGTTGGTACTCCGCCGAGCAGCATACAGAGTATTGTCTCTGGACTACGTGATGCCAGTTGACCTCCGTGCCCCTGAGTCAGTGGTCCAGAACCCCCAGGCCCAGCAGCTTCTTCCCGCAGGTGTTTGGTTTTATCCAGGCAGTGTTCATAACGTGGCTCTTTGTGTGCTCCGTCCGTTCGTGGATTGAGTGGTAGCAAAGGTACCTACCATGCACAGTGTCCTCTGTCAAACTGTTGTATCTTCATGGCTCTCCTGTTCTCCACCCACACCCACTCAGCCAGCATGCCTGTCCATGCAGCTGCTCGCAGGTCTGGGTGACTGCAGGATTGGGTGCAGACAGTTTTTACTGCTTGCACTTCTCCTCGTGTCTCCCTTCCCATGCCCTCTACTATAATTACCTTCCCCGTGTTAACGTGGATCTCCTGCTAGCCAATAACATACCTTTCTTCTCCCTCCTGCCCGCCGTGTTTCTTTTAGCATGAAAGTATAAAAGAATTTTTTTTTTAGTGTGAAAACCTTTTCTTGACTCTTTGTAGTAGTGGTCTCATACAAGATTTGCTCTGTCGTGATTGACCCATTTGACCCAGCATCGTGCCCCCAGGTTCATCCACAGGAGGAGGTGTTTTACAGGGGTCTCACAGATTCATTGTTACCCTCCCAGTGCTGTACAGTGGACTGTTGTGTCCATGTATCCTAGTTTGTTTATTCACTCTTCTTCCGGGAAAAGCAATGCCACCCCCACCCCCACCCCCCACCCCCGCAGGGAATGTTGTCCTGGGTGCTTTTGAGTGGATTTCAACTCACAGTGCCCTCCCGTGACCACGTGGGACTGACTGCCCTTTGGGTTCCCTTGGGGGTGATCTTTGTGTCCTCTCCACTTGGCTGATGAGCTCATCCAACTGAGTTCCTATCTTTGTAACTATTTAAATTCGTATAAAATGTGGTCGAGTGATGCCACCTCATAGTGACCCTCCATGACAAAGCAGAATGGCTGTTGGGTTTCCTGGACTCTCATCTTTATGGGAGCAGGTGACCAGGGCTTGTCTTCTGCAGAGCTGCTGGTGGATTTGAACAGCTGACCTTTCGATTAACCACTTAACCATTGGGACATCCGGACTCCTGATGTTAAGTGTTATCGGCAAACCTTGCTTGATTAAGGAAGAGTGCATATGTGTATGTTGAAGAAAAAGCCTTTGAAAGGGGAAGCTAAGGGTATTGTTTTGAAGCATAGACTCCTTGGCCAGTGGCTGAAATGTGTTTTGCCTTCTGTCAAAGGGAAGCCCAGCTCCGGTGTGCCTTCCTTCAGGCATGCATCTTCCGAGAGAGAGCCAGCAGCCCAGAGACCGGGCAGCTCCGGGGTTAGGTCATTCAGACTCGGCTGCATCACGTCATGCAGGAGCCAGAGCTCCCTGAGTCCACCTTTCTCTCCTGCCATCATCCGTCCGTCAGTCAACCTTGTTTTCAAGCGAGGTTCACTTTGGGTCACCAGGTGGACATTCCAGCGGGAGGGATGGTCTTTTGTCCTCAGCAGGCTTATCGTTACATCTCATTGGCCAGAATTGAGCCACCCACCTTTGCCTCCAGGACTGGCAGAAGAATGGAATTACAGGTTTCCTGAGGTCACATAGGGAAATCCTGCGGGTGTGGTGGGCATGGTTAAGCCTGGGGCCACTGATGGGAAGTTCTGTGGGAGAAAAGCGTGCGTAAAGGTGGCATCGAGAGGAAACCCTACAGGACTGTCAGCCCCACCCTGTCACAGTGGGTCAGTGTGACCCGGAATCCACTCAAACACATCCACAACCAACGATCCCTGAGGAGTGGGTGGTACCTTTTTTCCTGAAAGATGAATACTTTTCTTAAAAGCTGTGTTTACAGTATATGTAGACACCTTATTTAGAGGTAGGGAAATGGGTGAGATGACTTTTCAAAGCCGCTTTCCAACCTAGCTGTCTCCGCTTTTCCGACAAGAGCGCCTGGGTTGGTGGAATAAACAGACCTGCTCTCTGTTGCCTGATAGTGCCTTTGTTCTGGCTGGGGTGCCCCAGCGTTGCCCCGTGCCTCCAGGTACGGGTGATGTTTTTACCCAAGCACGTGCTCGTGTCCTGGAGGAAAACAAGGCAGGCACTTGGGCTATTTTGAAATCATTACCTTTTATTATAATACTCAGTTCCCACTCAGAAACTACCTGCCTGTGTGGAAGGCCTGGGGCAGCGCACCGGCCTCAGGAAGTCGGCGGGAGGGGTGAGTCCTCGGAGCACAAGTAACCTAGGTGCCAGTGCCTCTGGAGCCCAGGGGGCTTGTAAGGAGCGCAAGAGGCATTCTGCCGGATGCCAGGAAGCGTTGTGGAAGATGTGATATTTGAACGAACTCTTGAGAGACTTGCAGGTGTCCCAGGTGAACAGGGGGTGGGTGGGTGAGTGGGGAGAGGCTATTTACAGCAAAGAAAATAATGGGAGCCAAGGCCCGGGGGTGAGACAGCACGGGCCGAGTGGGCCGTGGGGAGCTGCGGCAGGGGGCAAGAGTCGGGGTTTCTCCAGACCCTGGCGAGCCTGGAGCGCCACACCAGGATCCGGCTTTCGTGTGGACGCAATGGTTTGTTTTGTTTTTTAAAGGAGATGCCTTGCCAGGATTGGAGAGACTTAAGGGCTACTGTGTCTTCTCTCCTTCCTACATTTGGTTCACACCAGGAACGCCCCCCTCCTATAGGGCAGAGAATAACCTCCCTGCTTGTTCAGTTGACTTTCAACAGCCACTAAAACAACGAAGCCCTCCGTCGGGTGGTCAGATTCCCATTCTACAGAGGAGTAATCCAAACCTTAACAATCTGGCCACAAAGACGGATTTCTTCTCCAACGCTTGCTCTTCCACGCACAGGAAGACGGACTGCCTTCCTGGAGAACTTTCCTCTGTACTCTGACTGTCCAGCGTCGTCCCTTTTTCCATCTTACAGAAACCTAGGGAGATGCTGAGGTCCACACACTTCAGAATAGTCCACCATTGGAGACCCAAAGGGCAGCTTTGCCTACAGACAGAGAGTAGAAAGGCTAGGAAAGGAGAAGAAATGGAAACAGGACCCCCAGGGATGAAGAGGGCTGAGCGATCCTGCATTGTGGAGATTGCAACCAATGAGCTGAAACAAAAGCGTATGGAAAACGGATCTGCTCTATAAACCTTCACCCAGTGCACAATCCAGAGGAAAAACCAAATTAGGAATATCATGACATGCTTGCAGTGTGGCCCTCAAGGCAGGGCAGGTGACCTCAAGGTCATTTCCAGCCTTGGGTACTCCATGCCCATCTTCCCTTCGCTGCCAGGAGAGGTAACATACCCCCCTTTCATGTGGTCATAGAACTTGGAAGGGACCTTGGAGATACTCACACTGTGTTACTGTTGTTGAGTGCTATCCAGTCATTTCCAACTCAGTGACCCATGTGACGGAATTAAGCTGCGTGCTCCCCCTGCCCCCTTTGGGGTTTGCTTCACTGTGCCCTCTGGGAAGCAGATCACTAGCCCTTTCACAGACCCACTGCTGGTTTCAGCAGGGCCAGTCCCTCATTTTTCAGGGGGACACAGGCCCAGCGTGGCCCAAGCCCTTTCCATGACTGGCAGGATTTGGGCTCCCCTGCCTTGTGACCTGCCCTCAGAGTTGTCATCTTTCCCAAAATGTCCAGCCTCCCATTGTCCCCACTCACCACCTCATTCCTCCCCAAGCGTCCCTCTGCCACCACACCCCGCAAAGTTTTTGTTGTTGCTTGTGTTTAAACCTCCTTTGACTTATGAAATAAAACCTCGCTCACCCCTTGACATTAGGCAGATCTCTAGATAACTACACCTCGTATCTCACCTGCCTGCGTTTGCACAGTTTCTGTGTGGCTCATGGAAATGGGAGTTCAGATTTGGTTAATTTCCTATCGTTTGGTTCAGGATGGGCCCCTTGTCTTGCTGAGTACCCTCCTCACGTCCTGGCATGGTATCAGAAGCAGGGATTTGAGCCACCAAAGGGCTGAGCTCGACAGGTGTGGGGGCAGAGGCATCCCTGCAGGGTGGCAGCCCCTGGAGCTGGCCGGTGTGCCATCTCTGCTGCACCCATGAAAGAGCTTTCATTGTCAGCTGGCCCTGTCAGGTGGCCCCCAGAGACATCCTGTCCCACCGCCGGGAGTGACACAACCATGGGCAAGCTAATATCACCTCTCTGGACCTCACCGTTCTTGTCCCGTTCTGTGAGATGACGATAAGGCCCACTCCTCAGGGCGGGCAAGGCGAGTGCTGTGTGTCTGTAGACCGGCAGGGTCAAGGGCTATTGTCATTGTCCTCACTAGGGCAGTGTGGACATTCTCAGGCTGACTCTGCAGTGCGAACTGACAGGAGATGAACTCAAGCACATAGCCCAGAAGGTATCGAGGTTTCTGTGGGGTGAGACCTCCCCTCTGGGCCCTGACCCCCGACGCTTCCTTCCGGGAGGGAGGGTCTCTGCTGCTGCATGCTTGGGACCCTTCCCTTTCCAACACACCCAACTGAATAATTCTGCGTTGCATCCTGCTGTGAGGGGTGGGGAGAGGGCGCCAGGGAAATGAAAACTAACCGGTGATGTCTACTCATTCTCCACATCTAGTGTTCTGGCTGCGGTGTGGCTTCGGTAGCGGTTCTGAAATACAGTTTTAAGGTGGCAAAATCCGACTAACCTCTGCAGTCTCTCAAGGAGCAGGGCTTGTGCACTGGTTGAAGATCGGGAGCCCCGGGCCGGCCACAGTTCTAAACCATTCCTCTGCTTCTCCGGCAGGCGGGCAGGAAGACCTATGCCATGGTCTCCAGCCGCCCAGCGGGTCCGTCTCTGGCCTCGGAGCTGGTGGAGTCCAACGATGGACACGAGGAGATCATTAAGGTAAGCCGGACTCTCTCCTGCTGCTCTGCCCATGGGCACGGAGGGAATGGCTGGCCTTGCCCCCGGGACTTTGTGGTTTGACTGTGGGAAGACCAGACCTGAGATGCTAGTTCCTGTCAATCTCTTGGGCAGATCTTAATTAGCACTGGAGACCCAGGTCTGTCTGCAGTGACAAGGGCAGTGGACCGAGGGTGGGGGGGGCGGGTTTTGACCTTCCTCGTCCCTGTTCACCTCGGCTCGCACTCGGCTCTTGGAGGGGATGGAGACAGGCCGGGAGTGTGCTTACGGAACTCATTTTAAAAGTCACCGATCTTTTTTTTCTTGCCATACAATTGACCCATTTACAGCGTGCAATCCAATGGTTTTTAGTATATTCACGGCATTGCACAACCGTCCAGCAAAAACCAAAGCAGTGTTAGTGTCGGCATCAAGTCGATGCTGACCCGGCGACCCTGTAAGGACAGAGTAGAACTACCTCTTCACGGAAGCCGAGTGCTGCAGCTCTCTCCTGTGCAGTGGAGAGGCGGTGTGAATCCCTGAGCTGGTGGCTCAGTGCAAGTGCTGAACCTCTGTGCCACCAGGGCTCCGGGGTGCACCGTTACACTCAGATTCTGCAATGTGTTCACCATCCCCAGGAGAAATGCCGGGCCCGCTCGCCCTCTCACGCTCATTCCCTTCTGACCCCAGCTTATGGAAACGACTAATGTGCTCTCTGTCTCTGTGAATGCTGGAGAGTCCATGTAAATGGAGTAACGCAGTACGGGGGCTTAGTGTGTATGTTTTCCTCCATCTGGTAGAATGTTTCAAGGTTCACCCAAGGCGCAGCAGGTATCGGCGTTTCACTCAGTTTTAGGATGTGTCTACCATGTCTTCATTCATCAGCCCATGGACACGTGGGTTACCATGACCAGCCCTGTCCCGACATCTTTGTGCATTGCTGGGCTAGGTGGTAACTCGATGTTTGATGTTTGACCTTTGGAGGAACCGTTAAACTCTTCCACAGTGGCGACCCCATTTCACAACCCCACCTGCAATCGATGAAGGCTCCCATTTCGCCACATCCTCCACAACCTTACTATTTTCTGTTTTTATAAATTATTATAGCCATGCAATTGGGCATGAAGTGGTAACTTCATGGAGGCTTTAAGTTGTGATAAGATCATGGGGCTTTAAGTTGCATTTTCCAAGTGACAAATGATATTGAGGATTTTTTCACTCCTTGCTTGTATATTTTCTTAGGAGAAATGATTATTTAAATCTTTTACCCATAGGAAAAAAAAGATCATTATTTTTTTATAACTTAGTTTGTATATTCTGATACTAGACATGGTTTGAAAATATTTTCTCCCATCCTATGAATTGTCTTTTCACTTTTTCAGGCTGTTCTTTGAAACACAAAACTTTTTTTTTCTTTTTAAGCATATACTGTACTTGTTGAAGTCTAATTTGTTGTGTGTGTGTGTGTGTGTGTGTGTGTATGTCTTCTGTCTACAGAGCCCTGGTAGGCTGGTGGGTAAGTCTTGGCTGCTAAACTCTGTCAGTGGTTGAATCCCACCAGCTGTTCCGCAGGAGAAAGATGAGGCTGTCCGCTCACATAAAGATTTACAGTCTCAGAAACTCTAAGAAACAGTTCTTCTCTGACCTACAGGCTTGCTATGAGTCAGAATAGGCTTGATGGCCGTGGGTTCAGGTGGCCTTTGGCGGTGGTGGTGGTCTAAGAAGGGTCACAAGGATGGACTACTGCAAAGTTAAAATTACAACTTTTAAAAATAGAGCTAGAATCCATGTTTAGTTTACTTTATTTTGTATGTGGTGTGAGGAAACAGGTTATCAATTCAGAAAGTATTAGTCTTAGACCTTTGATGATCTTTTCCAAATTATTTTGGCTTCTTGAGCTTCCTTGCATTTCTGTATGAATTTTAGGAGAGGCCCATTTGGGTTTAGAGAGAAACTGTTGAATATATAGATAAATTTGGAAGATATTAAATCTTCAACCCACAGACACAAATAGTCTTTCCACGTATGTAGGTCTTTCTTTCAAAGGTGTTTTGTCGTTTTTAAGATACAAGTCTGATCCTTCTTTTGTGTTAAACTTATTCCTGAGTATTGCACTCATTTGAGTGCAATTCTAGGTAGAATTGATTTTTAAACTTTATTTTGGATTGTTTATTGCGAGTGTAGAGGAAGATGGCTCATTTCTGTTGGTTGATCTTGTCTGGTGCAACCTTGCTAAACAGGTTATTCTAATAGTTTTTTATTGGGATCTTTAAGATAGGCTATTAAAAAGATCATGACATCTATCAAATAGAAACGGGTTTGCTTCTTCCTTTCCAAACTGGATGTCCTTAGTTAATTTTTTCCCGCCTTCCTAAAAGCCATTGCCAGTCCCTTGACAAATTAAAACCACCATTATTAACAGCTTACTGTGTATCCTCCCAGACATGACCCTATGCATGTACACCACCCCCACACACACACCAAATCTCATCCTGTTAGGTACTCTGGCCTACATTTTGCGTATTTTCCACTTAATGGTATAGTGTAGCATCTTCTGTGTCAATAGGCGCCAATATTTAGAATTTTTAAATGGCTGCATAGTATTCTAATTGATAAACCCCAAGCCAAACCCACTGCCATTAAGTTGATTCCAACCCATAGTGACCTTATTAGGGTTTCCAAGATTGTAAATCTCCATACGAGCAGGCAGCCTCATCGTTCTCCCAGCACCAGGATCAAACCCTTATCACCATCACCAAACCTACTGCAGTGGTTTCAATGATGACTCATCATGACCCAAGAGAGCAGAGTTTCACTGCTTCCTAAGGTTTCAAAGGCTGTAAATCTTTATGGAAGCAGACTGCCCTGTCTCCTCCCAGGGAGCAGCCAGTGGCTTTAAAATGCTGATCTTACAGTTCAGCCCAGCACTTAACCTCTGTGCCACAGGAAACCTTTGTTATAAAAACAGACCAGGATACATTTAACTAATCCCATATTGCTAGCCATTTCGCTTGCTTCCAGTTCTGAGTGGCCATCGCAACATTTCACTGGCTGTTCTTATTCTGTTATCTGGGTTTTATCAGAGAAGCCTGGTGTAGTAGGTTACACGTTTGCCTGCTAATTGCAGGATCAACCATTCGAACCCACCATCCACTCTACAGATGAAGGTAGAGGCTTTCTGCTCTCATTGGTAGCCTGAGAAACTTACAAGGGGAGTTCTACTCTGCTCTGTAGGATCCATATGAGTAGGAATTGACTGGTTGGCCATGGTTTGGGGTCTTTTTACGATGCAGAACTATTTTCTCAGCAGCAGAGTCAAGCAGGTGTGCAAAGCAAAATGTGAAAACCCCTTTATGCAACTGTGCACCCCAGATGGCCCCACTCTGACCTGTGTGGGGTGCCTCCGCCAGCCCCCTGGCTTTGTCTGTGGACGAGTGCTTATGCCACTGTCCATCCTGTAGTTCAATGTATTTCATTAGGATTGAAGCCCAGATGTAGATTTGCCCAGTCAAAGCATTGATCCATTCCTAAACCTTCTGATCCAAATCACCAAATTGCCACCTGGAAAGGTGGTAACCATGTCCCCTCCCACCAGCAGCATAGGAGACTGTACCTGTTTGGGTGAAACTAACCGAACTTGACACTTGGTCCCTGAACTGTGGTGTCTCGCTGTTTCAGGTGTACTTGAAGGGGGGCACGTCTGGAGACAGGATGATCCATGAGAAGAACATTGACCAGCTGAAGAGCGAGGTCCAGTACATCCAGGAGGTGAGTCCTCCCTTCTCCCCTGGCAAGTGCTGTTTCCCGACTTACACCGCCCCCCTCATGTTTACTTGGGGCCCTTCGTTTGTGGGTGCTGGTGTTCTCCCTACTGCTGCCACCAGGCTCTCCCGTGTGTCAAGGGTCATGTCTGACGCCTTAGCCCCAGCTTGTGAGCCAGCAGGTACTTATCGAAAACCACTAGCACTGCTGTCAGAGGACCGCCGTGTTTCCGGGGAGCATTTTCTGCGTCCGTGCTGAGCCAGAGGTGCACCTCACACGCAGTCCCCACTGGTCTGGCAGTGGAGGCTCGCGTGTTGCTGGGGTGCTGAACCGGTTTCAACGAAGCTTCCAAACCAAGATAGTAAGCCTGGCTTCTCTCATCGACTTTTGGAAGTTGGCTAAGGAAAACCCTCCGCTCACACAGGTCCAGTCTCGTGGAGCATGGGGTCGGTCAGCTCGGTCGGGGCCGACTCAGCAGCAGCCAGCATCAACCACAGTGCTATCCTCAGCCATCCTGGCTAAAAAGCCAGCCCACCTCCCCCGGTCCTCTTAACCTTTTCCCTGCTGCACGTGGCTCCTTGCTACTTGCCTTTCCAGGAGCCCTGGTGGCGTCGCGCTTCCACGTTGGGCTGCTAACCACAAGGCTGTCAGTTCGAAACCACCAGCGTCTCCGAGGGAGAGAGCAAAGGCTTTCTACTCCCCTAAAGGGTTGCAATCTCAGAAACCCACGGGGGCAGTTCTAGTCTGTCTTATAGGGTTCTCTGTGAGACGGAATCGACCCAATGGCCATGCGTTTGGTGTCCTTAGACTTGTCTCCTCAACTAGAATGTCGTGCCTCTTCTACTGCTTGTGTAGGAAGAACTTGGCTGTAGGCTCATGTGACCAGGGTTTCTCCTTTGCCCATGCCTGCCCCAGCGCAGTATGGGTAAAGCCGGGGCCCGCAGGGGGCTGAGCAGGCATGCTCTCATCCCGCATCTCAAAGGTAAGGTTGCTTGCTCTCCCTTCCCAGGCCAGGAGCTGCCTCCAGAAGCTCCGAGAAGATATAAGTAGCAAGCTTGACAGAGATCCAGGAGATTCTTTCCATCAGCAGGAGATACAGGTAACAGGAAGCGCTCCCCTGTTGCATCCCCACTGAGGAGGTGGGGCTCTTTCTACCAGGCAGGCTCAGTTACCAAGCACCCAGAGCCCAAGGAGACGGTATAGAAATGCTGGCTTCTCCAAGCACTCTCAGCCCAGGCAGGGCCCTGGCAGCGGGCACATACATTCCCCATCCCAGCTTGTCTGCAAGTGCAGCTGTCCCTAAAAACCCTGCATACACTGAATGCACGTACATCCCATTGCCTTCAGTTTATAGACATAGCCTCTCCCCTGGATGAAGACTGTGGTGCAGGCCCATGGTGAAAGAGTCTTATAATACATATGTATACCCAGCAGCTGGGTATGTGGCTGTCTCTGCTGGTATGGGAAGCCCTTTGAGGCGAGGGTTTGAACCTCTGTGTCTTTATGCTGGCGTAGGGCCCGGGACGCAGAAGAGCATTAGGGCATGCTCACTAGACTGAACCTTTGAATTAAGTCTTCCTACGTTGGATAATTCTTTGACCCTCTTTTCCCCCATCCCCAAAGTTGAAGACAGAATTGTCCCATGGTCCACCTCCTCCTCTCTTGGATTCTGAGCCCTGCTCCTTCATTTACAGCCTGGCTTGATGAAGGTCCTTCCCCAACAGTCCCTGTCCCTATTCCTCTGACGGGCCCAGAAAACTCCTCTTTGGCTGGGGCCTCTCCTTGCCTGGGGTGAAAGGCCTGTCCCGGTTCATTCCAGTTGGGTTTTAGGTAGAACTTTTCACTGCTTGAGCTGCCATCTGGCCGGTGGGAGGTGCTTGGTCGGGTGGCAGGAAGAACCTACTTTGTTCAGAGATGCCCCAATGGCCAGACCCCCTGTTTGCACAATCCTGTGGTGAATACTCAGGCTTCAGGTTAGAAAGAATTTTTGGCAAATGTTGCTTCCCTTTTTTATTTGTTTTGTCAAACCTTGTCAAGATCCCCGGGGGCAAGGGGAACTGTTTGTGGCAGGCCCCTGCTTGTGTCCTCGGGCTGCAGTGACTGGGGCCCCTCCTGCATTTTCCTGTCTGCTTTGAAGCTTCCACCTGAGGTCTCCCAGGCCCTCCCTACACGGCTGCGGTAGTTCCCCCGCAAAGAACCTCACCCACTTTCCCAGGGAGCACTGGAAGTCTTTCTCTCTCTCGCTCTTTCATTCTCTCCTGCCCTCCACCCCTCTTTCCTTTCTTTGTAAGATTTGAGGTCTTAGGAATATATTGCTTCCTCCTTCGTGGCCTGGAACTAGTTTTCTAGTTTTCTTTGAACAGGTGGTGCTAGAGAAGCCAAATGGCTTTAGTCAGCATTCTCCGGGTGAGGGTCAGAAGGGAAACCACGGTGCCTGCCGCTTGGTCAGGAAAGGGCCTCCTTCTCCTGACTCCCTTCTCTCTTTCACTAAATACAAGTCATATTTGCTTGCTGTTAAAAGCTCCCCCGGTAGAGAAACAGAAAAAATGAAAGCTCTCCTTCCTTAATTCCATCCCTTGACAGTATGTGCTGCCAGGTGCATTCTAGTCCAGTGCTTCTCACCCCTGGCGGTCCATTGGGATGGCCAGGAGGTTTAAGGACTCTCGCAGTGGCACAGTGATTGATGCCCTCAGCTGCTAACTGGAAGGTTCGAGGTTTGAGACCAAGTCGACATACCTCGGAAGAAAGGCCTGGCAGACTACGTCCAAGAAACCAGCCATGGAAAACCCTTTGAAACACAGTTCTACTTTCACACACCGAAGGTTGCTACGAGTTGGAATCTGCTGATGACAGTTGGTTTGGGAGCCTTAAAGGATCTATCCGGGTCCTCTCCCTCAAAACGGTCATTTAATTGATCTGAGATAGACACTTGTACTTTGGAAAGCGTCTCAGATGATCCCAGTGTTTACTCAACACTGAGTATCAGTAGTTTAGAGTGGTTGTCTATGTGTAGACATACTTTAATACCTATGTTTGCATGTATGCATGCTAATACACACACACACGCCATATGTATGAGGGAACTTCAAAAAGTTCATGGAAAAATAGAATGAAAAGATACTGGAGTTCTTCCACAAATAGTTTGAAACACCCCACCCCTCTCATATAAGTGTATGCATATAGTATGCACATCCTTTTCACAAATACGTGGCAAATTAATTATGCTGTCATTTTTTATTTTAAACTTACTTCTGTATAAGTACATCTAGATCTACCTCATTCTTCTGAACAACTGCGGTGTTTTTCTTCCATAGCTGTACTTTTGAAGAAGTCACATTTGCATTTTTTTTCTTTGAATAGTTTTATTTGCATTTATATTTTTTATAATCATAAAGATAGCATGCTTATTGGAGAAAATTTGGGAAATTCAGAAACATAAAAGAAGAAATATCAATTGTAATCTGTTTAGAGAAATGCACGGTTTGGTGAACCCTCCTTTAATGTAAATATACATTTTCAATATTGAGGTTATACCATATGGATTTTATGTACAACAACATAAAAAGACAATAAAAAGTCAAGTCTTCACACATGAGCTAATAAGCAACATCATGATAAACGGAGAAAGAGTGAAGCTGTCGAGGATTTCATTCTGTCAACACTCAGGGAAGCAAGTTACAAAATCAAGCTATGCATTACCCTGTGGAAATGTGCTCCTAAAATGTTAGAAAGCAGAGGTGTTGCTTGAGGACTAAGGAGTGACTGACCCAAACCATAGTATTTTTCATCAGCATGCGTGCAAGGAACCCAGGTTGTGGGGTTAAAGGGGAGAGGGAACCCCACAAAACATCACAGGTCTGGTAAGTGCAATTGTACAGCGATAATAAGAAGAGATTATAGTAAAGTCATAGAGAGCATGAGAGTCAAAAGATGGAGTCAAGTAATGGAGTCAGATGCAATTCATGGTAGCATTGCTCACCTCAGCTTGGTGGTCCACGTGGAGGGAGAGCCTTGCGGGCTCCGGAGAGAGCCTCCTCTTTATTGCTAACCAATCACTATATATCACTTTAGGGGGACATGATTATAGAATCACAGGCGTCACAGGAAGGGGCAGTACAATAGGCATACACATTGTAAGAAGGGGATCTATGATAGGCATAAGTGTAACAGGAAGGGGATGAGCTAGGGGTGTGCCCATAGGAATGGGAAGCTCTAGGGTTACACATGTGACAAGATGGGTGCACTCTAGATTCATAATGGCTACCTAACCTTGGTCATCCTTCGGTGGGTTTGCCCTCTGGGGTCTCCTACAAGTAAACAGACAACCACTATCCTTATCAGAAGGGAGTGGGCCTTACTTGTTGTGGGATAAACAGTGGTGTTTACTTGTTCCAGAAGTCTGATAGCTCTTAAGGAGAGTGACCATTAATCTACTCCTGATGACTTCCAAAGTGTACAGTCATTCTCAAGCTAAGTCTGGCATATATTTGCGGGGGACAACTTGGGAGAAGTCCTTCTGTTTGGGCTGCTAACTGCAAGGTCAGCAGTTTGAAGCCACCAGCCTCCACAGGAGGCAGCTTGACTTTCTACTCCTAAACACGTTTATGAGGTCGCTATGCATAGCAATCAAGTCGATGGCAGTGAGTGAATTCATATGCGTGTGAAAACTGGACATCAAATAAAGAAGACTGAAGAATTGAGGCATTTGAATCATGGTGCTGGTGAAGAATATGAAGTACAGCCAGAGTGCTTTTTAGAGACAAGACTGTGTCTTACGCACTTGGAACATGTTGTCAGGAGAGACAGTCTCTGGAGAAGGACGTCATGCTCGGTAACATGGAAGGTCATGAAAGAAGAGAAAGACGTCAGTGCGATAGAGTGTCATCGTGGCTGCAACGAAGGCTCCAGCAATTGTGAGCACAGCACCAGGCTGGGCGGTGCTTCCTTCTGTGGCGCAGGGTCGCTGAGTCAGAACCGACTAGGTTACAGCCGATCGGCAGCACCTCGCCGCAGTAAAACCAACCGTACACTGTGTTTCTTTGTTTGCATTTCCCTGGTTGAGTGGAGGTGTTTTGGATTGGGTTTTAATTTGGCCCTTAAGAGCGGCGTGAATCAGATATACCCATCCATTCTTAGCACGCGTTGGTTAATGGGCCCATCGAGGCTTCTCACTGGCTGTACTTTTTTTTTTAACTTTTTCATTCCCATCCCTCACTCTTTTTAACACCCCTCTTCCACCTTACTTAATATATTCCTTATATGGCTTTAAATACGTCTAAGAAGTATGGAGAGGTCCTGGCAGGCCTCAGCTGCTAAGAGACAGGTTGACATTCAGAGCCACGTGTGGTTCGTGGGAGAAAAACCTGGCTGTGAGCTCTCATGAAGATCGACAGCCCAGAGACCCCCGTGGGCAGCTGAAAAACCCTCTGCCATGTGAGATCGCCGGGAGTGGCCATGCATCAGCCCCATGGCACCCCAGCAACAATGACATAAGATGTGTTTTCAGTTCACCTGATGGATGAATACCCAATCTTTGTTGTTGTTTTTTTACCCAATGCCATGTTTTTATACTCTTAGCCCTGTTGCGAAGTTCAAATCCAGTGTGTTTTCTAATTGGTATATGCCAAGTGCCACGGCTTGCTTTTTTAACTTCTGATTGTGAGGCTTTGCCTTGGAAAACGCAATTGGAAATTAGCGCCAAATGGTCAGTCTCAGTCTAGGCGCCTTTCAGAGCTTTCGTACCACCTGGTAGCTCAGGAGGATTGAGCAGATAAATCCTGACAACTCGGCTTAGGGTGTTGTGATCTCTGGCCACTTGCTTTCGATGGGCAATTTGAATTCTTCCCATCAACTGACTCACCATAGTTGACAGGCTGTTGGCAACAAATGATAATAGTACTTGGCTTTATCTGTTTCTCCAAAGGCCTAGGATATTATCTTAGTTTGGAGGCTCCCTGTAAGGCAGGGTGTGGTCAGCAGCCCTTTCACTGCTGCGCAAAGGCTGGTAGCCCGTACCGCTGGGACCGTGGTGCCCTCCCACAGAGCCCTGTGTTCTGTGTGAAGGTGCTGTGAGAGGAGCCACCTCTTTCTGGCAGATGCTCCGCTGGTGCCAGATGGGGGCGAGACCTTACATGCCAGCTCAGCCCATAGCTGCCAACCCACGATTGGGTGTGACTGGGAGAGACTGAGCGGTAGCCCACGATGAGGCACCTTTTCCTTCATCAGATCATATCCCTGAACCAGCTGTGTGTGTTTGCCCTGAACAGGCCCATCCTTCGGAACTCTTTCAATGCCGATCTCCTCGGTGTTTACCACCAAGAACAATGAAAGATACTCCTTTGGGAAGCAGGAGGCATGGCCCCTGCCCTGGGGGAATCCTCCTCTGGAGGGGAATGTGGTTCCCATTCTTTCTCAGAGCCTAACGGAAGGAAGCAGCACATACCCATCCATCGGCCCACACACGTGTACAAAAGTACTGACGCGGCCCTAGGAAAACTGGGTGGTCTGAGGTGGTCTTCATAGGGGTAATTTGGAGCTCGTTGGTGCATGAGGTGAATTTTTTGTGAGGGTCCAAACCAGCAGGGGGTTGGAGGACCTCTCACCAAGTCACAAGCATGGCGACTTCACTTTGCCCTCTGCTCTGGCTGCAGACGGACAGCTACATGAGTGAAGATGCGGAGAGCCTGCGGAGGACCGTGCGGGAGCTGCTTGCCAAGCTGCAGGAGGCTGAGCAGCAGCATCAGTCAGACCGGGTGGCTTTCGAGGTGAGACTTGGGATTTGGACAGGAGGTGCTCCCAGGGCTAGGTGATTGGATGCAGGTGTCGCCAATGAGGTTCTCGGCACAGGCTCCGTGGCTCCCCGGCTGGGTGCCGTCAAGCAGAAAGGCCACGTTTTGAGCCTCGGCCACCTTCATGGGTTGTCCCTCTCCCAGACATGTACAGTGGTTGCCGCCCTAGGTGGGCCCACAGTTCAGAGGTCAGCTCTGAAGTTGGGCGGTTGGTGCTGGGACAGCAAATACTTCAGAAGCTAATTCTGCGTGCATCTCAGTAAGAATCGCTGGGCCTGAAACACCACGTGGGCAAGGGCCCACTGTCCTGTTCACCATTCCGTAGGGCCTGCCACCATACATAGGTCAGGTGGGCGCTTGGGAAGGGCGGGCTGAGTGAGTGGGAGAATCTGTGTTGTAACAGGAAGAACAAGCCCTGCAGTTGGAGGGCTTTTGCTCTAGTCTCAGCTTTCCTATTCAGAGCTATGTAATCTTGAACGTGTATCTGAGTTGTTATTATAGAAGCAGCACTGGGTGATTATAGAAGATTAACAGACAAAAAAAATACAGAAGTCTGTAAATATAAAGCGAAAGTCACCTCCCGATGAACAATGTGGGAGGTCTCCCATCGTCTCCAGAAACTTCTTGTGATTGTAAAGTGAGGTTCACTGGGTGTGTTTTCCCTACCCACACTGCAAAATGACCACCTGGGGAGTGTTTCTCACGGTGTCGGCATGGAATGATAGGGCTATCGCCTGCTCAGGCATGCAGGTGGGAAGCAGGCTTCGAACCGGTGCAGGTCCAACGGGGACAGACCTGCCTTTCGAAACGTTGGGTGATCCAGAATGCCGATCAGAATGGGAAAACTTACAGGCCGATACATTTAAATCTCTTGCAACATCAGGTGATGTAGGAATGTATCAAGTTTGAACTACGCCTATATACATCGCAGTAGCTACATTTTTATAAATAAATGTAACTATGTCCTAGGGGAGAAAAAAAAAAGGCAGGTCAAAGCCATAGCATGGGAGACCTAGAAGAGGCATAATGAGCCCCCTCCGGAGTCTGATGTGGGCCCCTGGAGGGCGGCCAGGACCGTGGGACGCAGCAGACATTGAACATGCTGGGGTCGGCCGCCATCTTTGAGCTGACTCTTGCTTTCCGCTCCGTTGGGACAAAGATTTGACGGCTGTGCACCACTCACGCTGCCCTTATTTTCTAAAAGGGAGATTGGGTTTCTAGCTCGGACCTGTAATTTCACCCATTCTGGTTAGCAGTCTGGTTAGGCCGCATTTAAAACCTTGTATCTGCTCTGGTGTCATTTCATCAGCCATGACTAAACCAGGCCAAACTGGTTTGAAGCCCTGGTGCAGAGAGGACGGCCAGTCTGAACGCCTCTCGTGGCACCGGAGAGAGTGTTTCAGCGAGCAGGACTGGGGTAGGAACAAAGGGCTTTAGGAAAGATAAACTGCCTCTCGATTAGTCAGTCTTCTTCGAAGAAGTCGCCTCCTGGATCATTAGTTTCCCCCTTTTGTGAAAGGGGTCATGAACTGGAGCTCACAAGTTTGGTGTGTGAGTTCAGTGAAGTAAGTATTTTTGTGAAACCCCTTTACGAAGCAAAGGGCTTTAGGCGTACATTCCGTATTTTTCTCAGCAATCCGTTTAATAAGCAGAGTTTCCTCTCCTAAAGGTTTCTGACTTACAGGCAATGCTAAGCGGAATCAGTGACCTCAGAACAAACTGGCCGTGCGTAAAAGGAGTTTGCGGCCTCTGTTTCAGATGCCCCCTCTTGGATAATTGAGGTGGCCATTTACCAGTGTAGCAACCAGCTATTCCCTCCTCCCAGGAAGAAGGGGAACTTGAGGCTGTGATTTTTGGGAAAGAAATGCCTGGATTGAGAGGCACTGTGAAATGGTGGAAGTTCTTGGCTTGTTTCCCACTGAGGGTTTTAGGAAGGCTAGTTAGCCCCCTGGTGGGAATATAGCTTCTACTTGCAACAGGAGGTGCTGCTGGGGTGGGTCTGGCTATTGGGAGGGGTTGGCACACACACCCTGCCCCACCCTGTGATGCAGGAGCTCCTGAGAGTCCTGGCTGGCTGGAGCTACTGGGAACAGAGGTGGGAGAGGAGCCTGCACCTTCATTTTGTGAGGGCACCCAGGCCCCCTTTATAGGAGGCTCCAGGTTCACATCAGCCTGGGCGCACAGGGCTTCTTGCACCGTTAAGCCCCTGCCCACGGGATGGTCTGTCCCTGGTTCCTGTGGGCCAGTCAAGGCTCTGCCCCATCCCTCCTCCTGAGTTAGATTCCGGTCTGCTCTTCTGAAAGGAGCCCTGGTGCCGCAGTGATTAAGCACTTGGCCACAAACCAAAAGGCCAGCGATTCGAACCCACCAATAGCTCAGTGGGAGCAAGATGAGGCAGTCTGGTCTCATCAAGACTTAGCTTCCTGGAAACCCTGCCCGGCAGCCAGTCCTACTCTGTCTGCTGGGGTCAATAGGAGTTGGAATTAGCTCTCTGGCAGCAGGGTGGCTTTTCTGAACTAGGGAGTAGGAAGGTTAGGATGGTCAATTACCAATTACCGTGACAATAACCGGCCATTAAGCTTGGCCTTCCCGTTCTGCTGGCTGCTGCTGCCAGGCAGGATTTGCAGCGCGCTTTGTTCTGCACAGGGCTGGTGTGCAGTGCAGACACGTCCCATCATACCTCACCCTGTGCTACCCTTTCCCCTCCCTGACTATGACCCTGGGGGGAACCAGGCAGAAGAGTTGCTCTCCTTTGGCTTTCCCAGAGCTGGGCAGCAGTCACCTTGATTGTCTCACAGAAAGTGACCAGGGAGGCAGTCTGGGGTGTTTTGGGGGGAATTGAACTGGATGGGGAGGTACCGGCCTCTGCCCTGGCTCCTCCAGTCACTAGATGTGAACTTTTATTGTGAAAGGCAGAGGCTGAACTAAATGGAGATCAGGTTCCACTCACAGTCTCAGAGCCCTGTAGGCACATGCGTGTGCATGTGCGTGTGCGTGTGCTCTGTGCTGAGCACTGGAGATGGAGTGGGGCCTCAGGCCTTCACCAGGGATGGATGCTGACGTCTCCTGGGGCATGCGCACAGCAGCAGGCCAAATTTGCAATGTTCCCTGCGGATACACAGAGGAAGCGCATCTCCCCCAGGGCCCCTCCCCCCAAGGCTCTGCGTCAGGGGAGGGGGCGGGCTAGGGGGGTGGTCCGACCAGAGACTGAAGGATCACTAGGTGTGGGCAGGACACAGGTGGAGGAAAGGGAGCAAGTGACCGGGCCTGTCTAGCCCTGAAATTCTGCTTCTCGCGCTTCCACTAGGTTGTTCATCTTTGGTGAGAGAGTTTCTGCCCAGTGCCCTGGGCCCTCCTGCCTCTGTACTCAGGCTGAAATGCCTTCCGTGGGCTCATTGGCTTGGAAGTTTGCAAGAACACGCATTTCTCAAGTTTGGGTTACACTGGGACGGCATTAGAGGATGCGTGGAGACGTGGGACGTTAGTGTCGCTCGATCAGCTCTGAGCTTGAGTCCCTCGGAGCTGTGCAGCAAGCGAGGGGTGAGCTCACCAGAGGCGCCCTTTGTCTGTGGCACTGCCCCGAGCACCCCAGCGCCCCTTCCTGTCCGAGGTTTAGGAGAGCAAACCCAATGGGCTTCCGGTTCATACATGCACAGGTTCATTCCAGACAAAACCTGCTTGAACACGCCTCTGTTGTCGGGGGTGGGGTGGGGGTGGGGGTGGCTGCAGGCAAGCCCCACAGGACTGCACTTATCTTTCTGTCTCTTTGGGGCTCCTTCAAAGATGGGGACACATCCAAACTGGCTTTGGTGCCACTTCCATTCAAGCTGAGAAGCCAGCCCAGAAGTGGATCGGTGACTGTTTGGGGGACTCTAGGAGCCCTGGTGGCATAGTGGTCACACGTTGGGCTGCAGGGTCAGCAGTTCAAAACCGCCAGCTGCTCTGAGGGAGGCTGACGGGGCCTTCTGCTTCCCCCATCAGGAGTCCCAGTCTCAGAAGCCCCCAGGGCGGCCCTGCCCTTCCCTAAAGGGTCGCTGGGAGGGGGAATCCCACCTCCCCACCCCCGATGGCAGTGCAGGGTTTTTCAGAGTACAGGGGGGATCTTGGTGGTGGGTTTTCTTAATGAGCACAAGATGAATCATAGGGGCTCATCAGGGAGAAGTTTGAGGAACATTGAAAACTGCACTGAGGAGGAGGAGGACAAGCCAGGGAGGTTGTGCTCAGGTATTTTCCTGCCACAACTGTGCACCGAGCGCTGTCCGGGGGGGATTGGTAGGCCTTATCTCATCCACCCTACAACCCTGCTCTTGTCCCTGCGGGCCTGCTTTTTGTTCCCCAAACTCAAGGAACCTTGACAAAGGAACGAGCGTAATTTGAGCCTCCTGTAATTCAACGTGGTGTCAATCAAAGCCCACCGAGTTCATCAGGCAGTGTGAGAGACACGGGGCACCACCTTCACAAGTGTGCAGACCTAAGGGTGGAGGCTGCGTCAAGCCTCGGTAGCTTCACATTTTGATGTATCTACTTCCTACAGGCGTTAAATTAGTCTGAAGCGATACTTTTTGACTTAGCCTCCTATAGCCCTATTTTCTCTGCCACTGCACCTGCCCCAGCCCAATTGTAACAGCCCCTTGCCCTGTGTCAGCGGTCTAGGGGTGGCGCACGTGGTTTGTACTAGTTAACAGAACGTTTGGCTTTTGAACCTGCCCAGGGGTGCCTCGGAGGAAAGGCCTGGTGATCTGCTTCCGTCAGCTGCCTGCCCAGAAGCGGGTGGTGCACAGTTCTCCTGTAGTCCCGGGCAGAGTCAGAATGGGCTCGATGGTGAGGGGTTGGCTCTGGGCTGTGTGCCGTGTTACAGGTCATGCTCAGCCAGTACCAGAGAGACGCAGAAGAGAGTAACGTGGCCCTCCAGAGAGAGGAGGACAGAGCGGAGCAGAAGGAGGTGGAAATCGGAGAGCTGCAGAGGCGCTTGTCGGACATGGAGACGGTAACTGTTAGCCTTGCTTTTGCTTTTTAGTGACGCGGTCCCTGGGGTGAGAAGGGGCCCAAGGTGTGACCGAGGCGGCAGCTGCAGAAAAGGCAGCATCACCGCTTCCTGTGGCACACACCTAGTGTTTAACCCCTTTCTGTCTCAGTTGGGGTCTTGTTAGAGCTGTCCCTTTTGGGCTGGTTCCTCAGGGCCGGACAGCCAGGGCTGGCAGGTGGACCTGAGGAATGGGCGCCCAGGCTCGCCCTCGGAGCTGCTGGGCGAGGTTGGGAGTTTCTGTGCAGGGAGGCTGGAAGAGGTTCTGCCTGATAGGGGAGGGCTCGCAGCAAACCAGCTTGGCCTGCTGCTCGTTGGCAACCGTCCCAGGCGAGTCGAGGCTGAGCATTAACCCTGGTGCCCATCTCGCCCCAAATAACTAAGTGCTTGCCATCCTCTCAGCCTAGACTTTCCTTCCTTTGACCCCCACCCCCTGCACTCCAGGAGCATCAGGCCTTGCTGGAGAAAGTCAGGGAAGGAGAGGCGGCCCTGCAGGAGCTTCGCAGCCAGAGCGCTGACTGTCGAGCGGAACAAGAAAAGTAAGGGCTCTACTCACTGGGAAGTTGGGGTGTGTGTATATGGGGCGGTGGGGGGAGGGCTACATTCAGACTGCAGCTCCTGTGGTAGCCAGACCTGGGCATGAAGCAGGAGCTGACGTCAGATCTGCCTCCCCTGACTCACAGCATGCTTGCCCAGGGCGGGGCCCCTCCCAGGGAAAGCTGTTTGGGTGGCTGCCAGCTCTGGGAGTTCACTTTCCACAGAATCCGAACCCACGAACCCACAGACAAGGTCTTTGTGTGAACCTTCTTGTGAAGGTTACTCGTGAAGAAAGAAGCGAAGGCTCACCGAGAGCTGCTGAACTGAAGCATCTGCCTTGGAAGCTCATTCATCCGACTGGATGCACCCCCCCACACACACACACACAAAAACAACCAGTCAACTGTAAGCCGGGGGCAAAAAATGAACACTTTTCTTTGAATCCTGTGAGAAAAATCACATCAGCGGCTTCATCAGGACAGGTTATGAACTTCCTGTCCCTTGAAAACTGATTTGGATCAAAACAGAGAGACACCATACCAGTGCTCCCCATCCCCCCGCCAGGCAGCAGCGGCAGGCAGGGCACCGCACAGGTTCCTCACAGCACCCAGGGTCGAGACTTGGGCAGAGTCCCACAGTGCAGAGGGAGGGGACCAGAGGCTCCAGACCCAGGAAGCCTACAGAGCAGAGACTGGGCCTTGCTGGCCCCTCAGGAATCTGGAAATCCTGAATGCTGTTGGCAATTCACTAAGACCCCCAGTGGTAAACTGGATTGAATTGAGTGCCAGCATAGAGTCTCATCTTCAGTGTACGGGCTGGCTGGGCCTTTTTAGTTCAGGAGACGTTCCATAAAGGGACTGCTAAGGCCTGGGATGCCGCTGGGTTCTGGGACCACTCTGTCTTCTGGGGGCAGTTTCTCACCTTTCGGATACACTACACCTAAGCCTGCTGGGCTTGAAATCACAGGCTCTCCTGACCCATCTTCACACCAGCACAGCCCACAGCTGCTCAGCATCCCCTCCTTTGGGGGGAGTTGGGCACAGGACCGGACATCCCAAGCAGAGGCTTGGGAAAATGCACTGGAAATTTTCTCAGCCAGAAGAGATGGCGAGTTGAGGGTGGAAGCCTGGGACTAGAACGGCTGCTGGGTTGCCCAGGCTGCCTCGTAGCCCCAGCCATACTCGGCCTGTCTCCTAGCAGCATGCTCTCTCTGTCAGCCCCTCAGCAGACCTGCAGGACGCGGGGACCGGCACATCTTCAGCGTCTCCTGGACACCCTCCCCAGTGGCTTGATTTTTGAGGATTGTGGCTAAGTTGGCTCAGAAGATGCAAAAGAAATAGCAGTGGTCTGGGATTAGGGAAAAGCTTTATGTCCTCAAATTCTATTTCCCTCCTAGAATAAAATCCCTGCCAACCGCTTGTTGGTGCTGAGGATGGTAATCCCAGCTCCACCTCAAGTCTTTCCCGTAACGGGGAAGCTCATTACACGCAAGGCAGCCTGCCTTCTGACAGCTTTAACCCAGAGAGCTGTCCTCCTGTGCTAATATAAAAACGAAGCCCCTGGAACATCTACTCACTGGCTCCCAGTTTTGCCCTCTGTAACTATCCAGAATGATTTGCCCTTTCTAAGCCTCAGTTTCCTCCAGTGGCCTAGAAAGTCTTTGACAGTGCTCCCAGTGTGATGTTCTAAGGCAGTGGTCTTCAACCTTCTTCATGCTGCGACCCTTTCATACAGTTCCTCATGTTTTGGTGACCCCCAACCATAAAATTATTTTCATTGCTACTTCACTATCATTTTGCTACTGTTATGAATCAGGTGACCCCTGTGAAAGGGTTGTTCGACCCCCAAAGGGGTCGTGACCCACGGGTTGAGAACCACTGTTCTAAGGGGTCCCACCAGCTGCTCTTTGGGGCAGACCATTGGGCATCAGGGAGCGGGGATCCCACTTGTTGGAAACGTCCCGTGCCCAAGGCTCCTCCTGTGACTGGGTAGACCAGACATCTCTTGCCTCAGCCCTCGGGTCTTTACCCCTAGGGCTGCTAACCTGGAAAAGGAGGTGGCTGGCTTGCGGGAGAAGATCCACCACTTGGATGACATGCTTAAGAGCCAGCAGCGCAAAGTCCGGCAAATGATCGAGCAGGTAAGAGCATCCACTCTCCCCTGCCTGGGGCGACTTCCTCCAGAGGTCACGGCGTCGACATCTAACCCTCCTCTTCTGCCGCGTCTAAGCATCTGCTTATTTATTCTCCAGGGTCCTTGGACTCGGGTGTTTCCCATAAAACATTTATAGCTACCGGTTATTAGAACTCAGAGCACTGGGATTTACTTTCCTCTCATCATCTTCTACTTTTTTTTTTTGCCTCTGCTTTATGTCCACTTTCCCCTGGGAAAGCAAGGAGCAGGTTAGGGGCCATGCGTTCCGAGAAGCATGCTGGCCAGTGAGTAACAGAGTCACGGTGCACTCGGCTCTGCAGAGGGATGCGCAACCTTTGTGCTCCCGGCAGAGCTCAGGGCGGGGTGGGCCCAGGACATCCCCCCATTTGCAGAATTGTCAGGACAAGTGAAACAGAACCAGTTTGCTTGGCACTGAGTTCACTTGAGTATGTAGGACTCTTTCAGAGGATTCTCAGAGGCTGATTGGGGCTTGGGGGAGAGAGGAGGCCTTGCTTCTGATGCACTTCTGGCTGGACTGGAGCCACTGACCTTCGGTGAGCAGGTCAAGGGTGGCAGCCGTTTTCACGTGGGCAGGATTCTTCATTCACATCAGCTCCACAATGGCCAAGGTTCCGATCTATTTTGTGCTCTGCTGGTCCCCATTGTCGCAAACGTACAAGGGGTGCTCCAGTAAGTCTCGGGGTAATTTGTATTTCCCAAAGCCAAATGGAATGGCTTTTTGAATCGTCCATTTATCTGGATGATCAGGGAAAGGGACCTCTCACATAAAGAGTTTCATGTTGGCTGATAGAAGGCTATTCTAGAAAAGCCAAGAGAATCCTGGGACGGGGACAGCTCTGCCTTGTCGGGCCGACGTCAGATGAGCAGGCGATGACGAGTCATTTCAAAAGAGCTCCCGTGTCTCCCGCATCTTCGCAGCTCCAGAATTCAAAAGCCGTCATCCAGTCCAAGGACACTGCCATTCAGGAGCTCAAGGAGAAAATCGCTTATCTGGAGGCCGAGGTGTGTGCACCTGGCAGCCCCTGGCCGGGGGGCAGTCTCTCCAAGGGAAGGCCAGAATTAGGGAGGCTACCAAGGGGCCTTGGGGTGCTGCCCACAAGGGGTTTCTGGAGGTGATGAGCCCTGTCCCTGCTCTCAAAGGTTGTGTCCTCTTGGCAGAAGCCCCTGTGCCTTGGCCAGATGGCAGCAAGCCCTGATTCTCATCCTGC